GTCTCCTAAGATAACTTTAATGACATTGCAGTGAATAGAATACATGGGGGACAGAAACAATCTAGAAATGGAATCTGGCTCTCCCTACCCTGCCTTGGTTAAACACCCATAGATTGTCATAGCTGTCCAATTGGTAATCTCCAAAATAAAGATCATCAGGACACTTGGGCAGCATTCCTCCATTCTTTATCAGGGCTGAGATCATGGAGGCAAAGGGAACTTTAGGTATATTCAAAATCAAAGTAAAAACCATATGCTTCCAAGTGAATAATCAGGTGAAGAATAGTTTAAAGATATGCACATTTATTTCAATTAAACACCTTCTCTGTGCATGTCACAATAAATTTACATTCATGAGCACCATTAGGGGAAACTCGGAACAATTATAATTTCATAAATAATTCAAAAATAAAGAATGTGATACTATTTATGGCACTTATTATTTTCATAATCTTATGTATCTAAGTTTATTCTTAGTTTCTGATTTTTATTTCTAAAATAGGTTTCCTTTTATATTGTCAACTGATTACTTCTGTTGTGTTAAGGAAAACATACTTTATGTGTGTCTTATGTAATAAGAATTTAGCCCTTTGATGATTTATAATAGATATTTTTAAATTATTTTAGATTTTCTAGGTAGACAATGAAAATTACTATAATTTTATTGATTGATGGATTTTTTTATGTCACTGCCTTCACTATACCTTTCAGGATGATCTCAGATGAAGAAGAACATAAATGCTCTGATTTTACTGAGCCCACCTCTGATATTTCAGTAAGATATTGCATAGTGAAGGTTAGACATTGTAATTTTATTCCCTCCATATACATAGAAAAGGATTGACTGTCATTCCTGCCCCACTGCCTTTGGTCTCCTAGAATGTGGCTATGACCTCTTGGAGTACGCCATATAATCAGTAGACAGAGGAAGAGAACATGGGTTTACAGATGGTTCTGCACATAACAGGCACCACCAAAAAGTGGAAAGCTGCAGCATTACAGTCCCTTTTCAAAACATCCCTGAAGGACAGTGGTAAAGGGAACTCTTTGCAGTAAGCAGACCTTTGAACAGTGTACCTGGTTGCACATTTTTCTTGGAAGAAAAAGTGGCCAGGGAGCTGGGGATTTAGCTCAGTGGCATAAACACCTGCCTTGCAAGCTTGTGGTCATGAGTTCAATTCCTGGTACCAAAAAAAGAAAAAGTGGCCAGATAAGAGACTGTATACTGATTCATGGCTATATGTGGCCAATGGTCAGGTTGGATGGTCAGGGACTTGCAATGAACTTAACTGGAAAACTGAGGACAAACATATTTGGAGCAGAGTTATATGCATAGACCTCTCCACATGAGCAAATCATGTAAAGATATTTGTGGTAAATAATTTTCTTTTTAAATTATTAGGGTATTTTTCTTTCAAGCAAAAATTAAAACATGTAGAAAAAAGTATTTTTATACCAATCTGATCATGAGACCTGTTACAGAAACTACTACTGAAGTTGTTCAATTTCCTCATTTTCATCCTTAATGTATATTCTGAATGCATTTTGTGTGTTTGTATAGATGGGAATGTTTGAACATAATTTGTTTTCATTAAACTTATTACTTCATCAAACAACATAAGATTTTCTCAATATTTAAATGTTCCTAATTTTTCTTTTTTTTTTTTATTTAAAGAAAAGGAAACAAAAGAATACATGGAGATTTAAAAAAAGGGTAGAGATAATACAAACTTACAGAAAAACAAACGGTAAGAAATTGCTGGTTGAAAAGTTACACATTGACATCTTAGAAATAGCTGTTCATGTTATAGAATTAAAGCATTTAGAATGACATTAATAAAGTGACACTACAAACCCTTCTGCTCTATGATCGAACAAGAGTTCATTAATATGGTTATCAGTCCTACACCTTTGTTTTACTTCTCAAAGAGGGTAAGATTAAACATATCAAAACAGAACATAGCTGTTAAAAAAAACAATTTAAAGAAATACAGATTTCGTAGCAAGCCCACTGGAGATCTTCATTGTCTATGTAACTGTCTCTAGTTTCTTACAAATAGTTGTCCCCATCTTCACCCACCTTTATATACTTATTGTATATTATAGAACTAATCAAATCATTGGAGACTTTTTAGGTCCTCAAGTACCAAATTAGGGAAGACAATAGTAACTACCATCACATCTCTCATTCTCTTTGTGATAGCTGTCCCCATCTCTACATATGCTGAAATTGAACTCAAGAAACCAGTCCAATGTCATTCTAATCAGCAAACATTAGTATTGCTAGAATTTCTATCATAATGCTACAAAATTAGCCTCGGTTTCTTAGCGTCTCTTCCTCAGAGTATCTGTTCATTACATCTTACATTATATAATCTGTTCCCGTAAATAATTAAAAAGAAAAAAAAAACCATGTGTGAATTTCTACATATATATCTATCCTGTGTTATAGGGAATACCAAGTCATAGTAAGACAGCAAAACAATTTCCTAGAAAAACATGTAATGGATACAACATATAAGACCACAATATAGATGATCTTCCATAGTTACTATGTTTCCTCTTGTTATTTTCCATAGATTTGAACACCACACTGGCTTATTATAGTTAAATATAGTATCACCTATTTTTATAAAAACTTAACTTTGACAGCATTGTAGGATTTGAAAACTGTTACTAATTAATACCAGTATGGATATCCTTTACATCTTGTCATCCTCAGAGTAGTGGCCTCTACTTTTAGGGTTGATACTAACAAGCATACCAATTTCAAATAAAATCAGCCATGGCCAACCCATAGTCTTATGATTCAGATTCAATTAAGATCAGTCATAGTAAGACAATGTAAGTATTATAGGATTTCAGTTTAAGTTAATAGGAAAGTAAGGATAGTTACCATGGTATAACCTGCTATTTTTGGGTCAAGATGTCTGTGCCCTCAAATCTGACATGAGTGGACAGACAAATATATATTAAATTCAAACTAAATATGTCCATAAGACTACTATGTCTTTTAAATCCTTATACACCATTAACAATGACCTCTGCCTTTTTCTTTTTTTTAATAGAGTTTCAGCGCTGTCTATACTAAAGACTATAGCTTACCATCTCTGCCGCATGTCTGCTACTCCACTTTTCTACTATATTTTGTCCACCTTATTCCCTCATTCCACTGTCTGCCCCGTTCACTGAGGCCTCTCTGCCACTGTTGCTGGAATCCTGGTATCTCTTCCTCTCTTTCTCTGTAATGTCCTTCAGCACTCTCTGTAGGGTTGGATTGGTGGCCATGAACTCCCACAGTTCCTCCTTGTCTTGAAAATATTTTATTTCTCCATTAATTTTGAGAGAGAGTTTTGATGGGTATATGAGCTTCGGTTGCGTATCATTTTCTTTCAGGACTTGTAATATTTCTCCCCACTCCCTTCTTGACTTAAGAGTTTGTGTTGATAGGTCTGCTGTTATTTTGATAGTTTTCCCGTTGTAGGTAATCTGCATCTTTTCTTTGGCTGCTTTTAATATTCTGTTCTTTCGGTGGATTTCTGGAATCTTTTTATTATATGTCTAGGCGTAGATCTGTTTTGGTTGTAGGTAGCTGGTGTTCTGTATGCCTCTTTTATCTGGATATCATTTCTTTTTGCTATATATGGGAAATTTTGCTTTATATCTGTGAATATTCTTTGTATTTCATTTTTGGTTGTTCCTGCTCCCTCACTCACATTCTTTATTCTTAAGTTATGTATCTTTTTGTCATCTTCTAGTTTTTGAATTGCTTCATTCTGGTTCCTTATTATTTTTAAGAGGCTTTTTCTTTCACGATCATATGCCATAAATCTCTCTTCAAGTTTCAGAAGGCTGTCTTTAGTTTCTGCCAAGGCATTTTGCCAGTGTTCAATGGAGTTTTTAGTTTCCAGGTATTCTCTTTGGATTTGTTTCATGCATTCTAAGTTATGTTTAAATTCTTCTTCAGAAGATTCTCTTTCTTTTCTGATTTCCTCAGTTCTTCCATCAGTGTTCTCTTGGGCGGGGCTTGTCATTTCTTTAATTAATCTCTTTATATCTTGTCTCACTTGAATCAGGAGTACAGCTTTAAATTCCTCTATGAGATCATGAAGGTACTTTTTAATTTCGGCTGATGCTGTGTCAAGCAATGGATGATTACTGTGCTTGTTCTCTTCAGTGTTTACTTCTCCTGGGCTTATTTTCTCATGTTGGGCAGCTGGAGATTTTTTTTTATTTTTATCTCTTGTCATGTTTCTGGTTTCTTTCAGACTGTCCTGGGGTTCTCTGGCCCTCTCTGAATTGCTTAGGGCCTTTCAGAAGCGTGTTGACTTGAGTTTTTGCTGTCCTCCCCAATTTGCTGTTATCTGGGGTAGGCTGGGATGCAGGGGCAGTACAGGGTAGTCTCCAGCCTCTGCGTCAGTCAGTCCGTAAATTAGACTGTACTTTCTGGATGTCACTGAGTTGTGACTATTTTGTATCTGCTTGCTGGGCCCCAAGCAGAGGCTTGGTTTAGCGCCAGTATCTCCTGCCAGTTCTCTTTGTACCAGAAGCAGCTGACTAATGTCACTATGGCACAGGGTCCTGCCCAAATCCCAGCTGTTCTCTTCCAGACCTATCTGTGACAGGAGCACCAGCACAGCAGAACTGCCCAAACTCAAGATATCTCCCACCAGTTCTCTGTATGAGGCTGAAGCCAACACGTACTCAGGCTCTTCCCAATTTCAAGATGCCTTCCACTAGCCCTCCCTACAGGGGGGCTCAGTGAAGCCACTGAGCTGTAGGTTCTGCCCAACTGTAAGATGGCTGCCACCAGACTCTGTGTTATTGATGTCCCCGTGGTGGCGGGCACTGCCCCGTTCCAAGATGTTCTCTGGCCAACCCCAACAGCCGCGGGGTCCCCAGTACTCACCAGGGTCCACGCCGCCCACCTTTCCCGCACTCCCGGTACAGCACAGAACGGTCAGAAATCCGCGCAGCTCCTGGTACTGGTACTGTGCGGAATGGTCAGAAATCCGCGCTGCGTGTACTCCCAGCACCGCGCGGAGCGGTCACAAATCCTCGCTGTGTGCACCCCCGGCGCAGTACGGAGCAGTCAGAAATCCGCGCTGCATGCACTCCTGGCGCTGCACGGAGCGGTCAGAAATCTGCGCTGCGTGCACTCCCGGTGCCGCGTGGAGCGGTCAGAAACCTGCGCTGCGTGCACCCTGGGCACCACGCGGAGCGGTCAGAAATCCGGGCTGCGAGCAGAGGAGGAGCTGGGCAGATCTGGGGTGCCCTCACCGGCCTCTCTGCGTGTCTGGAGGACTCTGGATATCTCCACCCAGACTGCTGGAGTCCCCCCAGGCTTCCAGGTGCAGTGAAGGGGAGAGGTGGGTTTGAGGCTTCCACATCAGCCTCCCCATTCCGGTTACACTTGGAGAACTGCTGAGCTCCCGACAGGTGGGCCGGCCCACACTATCAGCCGAGCCCAGCCTGTTTTGCAGCCACACCTACCCATCAGTGTACAGAGGAGGAGCTGGGCGGATCTGGGGTGCCTGCATCGGCCTCTCCGTGTGTCTGGAGGACTGTGGATACCTCTGCAAGCAGGGAGGGTCCACAGGTTCCTGAGGCACCGCGGCCTGTGGTGAGTACCCTAACCCAGCTGCGATTGAAGAACTGTGGAGCTTCCAAGGGGCAGGTGGGTGCACAGTGTCCCTGAGGCCCAGCTTGTCTGGAACTGCGGAGTTCTGAGCAGGCAGAGGAGGGCCACTGGTTCTGTAGGCCCAATGGCTTGGGGTAGCGTGGCGCCAGAGTCTCAGTACCTCCAAACATAGAAGGGGATTTTCAACAGATCCTGAGGAAGCTTTCAAAAATAACACTTGAAACACAGAAATATAGGAAAATGACAAAATGAAAGACCAAATTACAACCTCAAACCTCCAGCCCATCTCAAGAAACCCTAGGATCGATGTATATAGAAGAAAATATATCCCATCCACCTCATATATCGGACACAATAGCTACTGAAATTGACAAGCAACTCCAGGAAGCTTTAAAGAAATTCAAACTCAAAATAATCTCCCAGATAAAAGAAGAAATGATAAAAGAAATGAAAGAGATTCTAAATATATCTAAAGAAAACACAGATAAAAAATTGGAGGAACTAAACAAAAAGATAGAATCCCTAGACGAGCAATATAAGAAACAAACAGAATACATAATGCAGATGCACAGAGATATACAGGAAATAAAAAACTCCACTGAAAGTTGTAAAAACCGCCTTAATGAAAGTGAAGATAGAATTTCAGACCTTGAAGACAGGATTGCAGCTAGTGAACAGGAAAGGAAAGATCTTTTGAAAATAACAAGGAATCAGGAAACAACAATTCAACAACTGCAAGACGATGCAAAGAAGAATAACATAAGAATCATAGGGATTAATGAAAGAGAGGGAGACAACATGAAGGATGTCAGGAGGATATTTAGAGAAGTAATAGCTGAAAATTTCCCAAGCATGAGATCAGAAACTGACATCAGGATCAGTGAAGCATATAGAACTCCAAACAGTCATAACCAAAATAAAACTACACCCAGACATATAATAATCACCATCCCAGAAATCCAACACAAGAATAGATTATTAAAAGCTGTCAGGCAGAAAAGACAGATCACTTATAAAGGAAAACCTATCAGAATCACAGCAGACTTCTCAGCACAAACGATAAAGTCAAGAAGAGCATGGAGTGAAGTATTCCAGATCCTAAAGCAAAATGATTTCCAACCTAGACTGATATATCCTGCAAAACTATCATTCAAAATAGATGGTGAAATACGATACTTCCATGACAAAGAACAGCTGAAGAACTTCATGAACACCAAACCAACCCTGCAAAAAATATTGAAAGACAGTTTAGATACACAAAGGAAAAAACCACTAAGCAAAGCAAATAATTAAACAGAACAGAAAGATAAAGATGCAACAGCAGAGAGATAACATTCCTACAATTAACCAGCATTTAACAGTAATAACCATTAATGTAAATGGTCTCAATGCACCAATCAAAAGAAACAGACTAGCAGAATGGATCAAGAAACAAAATCCAACCATATGCTGTTTACAGGAAACCCATCTAACCCAGAAGGATACTCACAGACTGAAAGTCAAAGGATGGAAAACAATTCTTCATGCAGCAGGAATCCAAAAAAAGGCAGGAGTAGCCATTCTGTTTGCAGACAATGTGAACTTTAAACCAACAATGACCATAAAGGACAAAGAAGGTCACTACATACTCGTAAGGGGAAAACTCCAAGAGGAAGAGATAACTATCTTAAATATATACGCACCAAACTCCAGAGCACCCAGTTATATAAAACAATTATTAACAGAAATGAAAACTCAAATTATCAGTAACACAATTGTAACAGGAGACCTTAATACACCACTGACACCAAGGGACAGATCAACCAGACAGAAAATGAGCAAAGAAATAACAGAACTGAATCACACCTGTGAACAAATGGGTTTGATAGACATATACAGAATGTTCCACCCAACAACATCAGAATACACATTCTTCTCAGCAGTACATGGGTCATTTTCTAAAATAGACCATATATTAGCTCACAGAACATATTTAAGCAAACGCAAAAGAGTTGAAATCATCCCTTGCATATTATCGAATCATAGCGCTCTGAAATTAGAAATTAATGATAAAAGATACTGCAAAAATTCCGCAAACACATGGAAACTGAATAACACACTCTTGAGTAATCAGTGGGTCACAGAAGAAATTAAACAATACCTAAAAGAAAATGAAAATGCAGATACAACTTACCGGAATCTCTGGGATGCAATGAAAGCCGTCCTGAGAGGAAAATTTATTGCACTGAGTTCCCACATCAGGAAAACAGAACGAATACAAATAAATAACTTGATGCTACACCTCAAACAGCTAGAAAAAGAAGAGCAAGTCAAGCCCAAAGCCAAAAGAAGAGAGGAAATTATAAAAATCAGAGCAGAAATCAATGCAATAGAGACTAAGAAAACAATCCAAAGAATCAACGAATCAGAGTTGGTTCTTTGAAAGAATAAATAAAATCGATAAGCCCCTAGCGAACTTTATTTATAAAAAGGGAAGAAAAAGCTCAAATTCATGCAATAAGAAATGAAAAAGGAGAAATCACTACAGACCCCATAGAAATACAGAGGATCATCAACACCTATTTCGAAAACCTCTACTCTCAAAAGTTTGATAACACAGAAGAAATAGACAGATTCTTAGAAGCATATGAAGTACCAAAGCTAGATCAAGAGGATATAAAACTGTTGAATAACCCAATCTCTGCTAATGAAATTGAAAATGTAATTGGGTCCTTGCCCACCAAGAAGAGCCCAGGCCCAGATGGATTCACTGCAGAATTCTACAAGAAATATAAAGAAGACCTAATGCCGACACTCCTCAAACTATTCAATGAAATTGAAAGGGAAGCAATCCTTCCTAAGTCATTCCTGGAAGCAAATATTACTCTAGTACCAAAACCTGAGAAAGACCCAACTATAAAAGAGAACTATAGACCGATCTCCCTAATGAACACAGATGCAAAAATCCTCAATAAAATATTGGCAAATAGGATCCATCAAATCATCAAGAAGATTATACACCATGACCAAGTGGGATTCATCCCAGGAATGCAAGGATGGTTCAACATACACAAATCAATAAATGTAATCCACCATATCAATAAAGCCAAAAATAAGAATCACATGATCATTTCTATAGATGCAGAAAAAGCCTTTGATAAGGTCCAACACTTATTCATGATAAGAACTTTACAGAAAATTGGAATAAATGGTCTTTACCTCAATATAATAAAGGCCATTTATGACAAACCAACAGCCAGCATCATACTAAATGGCCAAAAATTGAAAGCCTTTACTTTAAAATCGGGCACAAGACAAGGATGTCCTTTATCACCACTCCTATTTAATATAGTACTGGAAGTACTAGCCAGAGCAATTAGGCAAGAAAGAGAAATAAAAGGGGTAAAGATAGGAAAAGAAGAAGTTAAGTTATCATTGTTTGCAGATGACATGATACTCTACATAGAAGACCCCCTAAACTCCATTGAAATACTCTTAGATACAATAAATAAATTCAGTAATGTGGCTGGATACAAAATCAATACTCAGAAATCAATAGCATTCCTATACACGAACAACAAAATTACAGAGAGGGAAATAAGAGAAACTGGACTATTCACATTAGCAAGCAAAAAAATGAAATATTTAGGAATTACTCTTACGAAAGAAGTGAAAGATTTATACAGTGAAAATTATAATACACTGAAAAAGGAAATTGAAGATGATCTCAGAATATGGAAAGACATCCCTTGCTCATGGATAGGAAGAACAAACATTGTGAAAATAGCCATTCTCCCAAAACTGTTATACAGATTCAATGCAATCCCAATAGAAATACCATCAACATACCTTATAGATCTAGAGAAATCACTCCTAAATTTCATCTGGAACCAGAAGAGACCTAGAATCGCAAAGGCAATTCTAAGCAGCAAAGACAAAGCAGGAGGCATCACAATCCCTGACTTGAAGTTATACTACAAAGCAACAGTAGTAAAATCAACATGGTATTGGAATCAAAACAGAGCCGAAGATCAGTGGAATAGATTAGAAGAGACAACCACAACTACAAACATACTCAACCACCTTATCTTTGATAAAGGAGCCAAGCAGGTTCACTGGAAGAACGACAGTCTCTTTAATAAATGGTGCTGGAAAAACTGGCTCTCCATTTGCCGCAAACTAAAGCTAGACCCATGTCTATCACCATGTACTAAATTAAAATCTAAATGGGTCAAAGATCTGAATATTAAAACAGAAACACTAAATCTATTGGAAGACAAATTAGGTAGAAACCTTGGAGACATAGGAGTAGGTAAAGAATTTATGAACAGGACTCAAACCGCACGGGAAATACTTCCCAGAATCAATAACTGGGACCACTTCTTATTAAAAAGTTTCTGCATGTCAAAAGAAATCTCCAGCATAGTGAAAAGAAAACCCACAAACTGGGAAAAGATTTTAGTGAACTCTCTCTCAGACAAGGGCCTCTTGTCTAAAACATATAAAGAATTAAAGAAACTCAGACCTCCAAAATTCAAAGATCCAATCCAAAAATGGGCATCTGAGATGAATACGCAATTCTCAGATGAAGAAATGCAAATGGCAAATAAATACATGAAAAAATGCTCATCATCATTGGTCATTAGAGAAATGCAAATTAAAACCACACTGAGATACCATCTCACTCCTGAAAGAATGGCCAGGATCAAGAAAACCTACAACAAATGCTGGAGAGGCTGTGGGGAAAAAGGAACTCTCCTGAACTGCTGGTAGGAGTGTAGACTGGTACAGCCTTTGTGGAGATCTGTCTGGAGATTTCTCAAAAAGTTGGGACTGGAAATCCCATTCATTCCAGCTATTCCACTTCTAGGCATATTCCCAGAAGAACTGAAAGCATCATACCACAGTGATATATGTGCACCTATGTTTATAGCAGCACAATTTGTAATCGCCAGATCTTGGAAACAACCCAAGTGTCCATCAACTGAAGAATGGATAAAAAAGTTGTGGTATTTCTATACAATGGAGTATTATTCAGCTATAAAGAAGGATCACATTGAGATATTTATCAATAAATGGGCACAGCTTGAGACCATACTCATAAGTGAAATAAATCAATCTCGCATGTGTGAATACCGAATAGTTTCCCTAATGTAAGTAATGATTCAAATATATAAAAATATGTGGTAATCATGATTCCCCATTAGGTGGCCCTGAAGCCTTATAAAGTTTTCACTCATTAATTAGAAAGGCTTTATTCTGGGCTTCTTGATATGGAAATATTTGAAGCTAGAGTATATGAAGTTTTATCCAAATATTTCAAGGAAAAAGACAGACACTATGGTAACTACTATTAAGTCGGGTTATATGGTGGTGAAGTACTAGGTTGCTGAAACAGTCATGCTTTGACCTCTATTGTTATATTTTTATGTCCTGTTTTATCTCAATCTCCCCCTTATTCTTTTAAAAAAATTATTTAGTCATTTCTTATGTTTGTCTAAATTAAAGAAAAAATTTTAAAAATTAGGATATAGAAATAGTAACTCTTTTTGATTTCCTATTAACTTGTTTTGAAGTCCTGTAGTACTCCCACGATCTTGTTTTGACTGATTAGACTCTGTTCCATTCTATATGATAGTATCAAGTTTGAAGACATAGGCAACTACTTTGAAGGCAATAAGATTCACTAAGATGCCCATTCTGGTTTGACTATTGTCTCCTTTGGAAGTCCTGTAATGTTTACAATGCCTAAGTTTTATTGGTCTTGTTCTCTACTGTTTTGTCCAACTTTATAATATCTAATGAGATAGACAATTCTTTTTAAGGAAACAAGAGACAACGTTGATAACCATTGTTGATAACCTTGTACTCTGTTCTACACCATGTGCTATGTCTATCCTTGGTTTTGACTGACAGCTTTGTTTTGCCATATTTGACTGTATTCTCTCCCCCCCAAAAAAAGTAATAAGAACTAAGGAGTAATAAAATCCATAATGTGTAAATTTTGTTGTAAAAAAGAGAGGGAAAAAAAAAGAAAAAGAGCTCTAACGGATATAACAGCAAGTGTGTTTAGGGGTGTTAAATAGCTGACTATATCAATGTTTTTGGATCATTGAACACAGCTGTTTGCAGTCTCCCTGTTTGAATGTCCACCTTGTATTCTTTGATACTGTGATTTGAGCAACTATTTTCAAGATGATAATATGTAATCTACTAACAGGTGATTTCTTACTGTTATGTTTTTTGTTTTTTTTTTATAGTTCTGTATTACCTGTACCCTTACACCGCTTTGTTTTGTTTTGTGTTTTTCTCTTTTTCCTCTTAAATAAAAAGAAAAAAGAAAAAAAAAAAAAGAGATCCGCGCTGCGTGCACACCCTGCACCGGGCGGAGAGGTCAGAAAGCCGCGCTGCGTGTACCCCCTGCGCCGAGCGGAGCGGTCAGAAATCCGCGCTGCGTGCACTCTCGGCGCGCGGAGAGGTCAGAAATCCGCGCTGCGTGCACACCCGGCGCCGCGTGGAGCGGTCAGAAATCCGCGCTGCGTGCATACCTGGCGCCGCGCGGAGAGGTCAGAAATCCGCGCTGCGTGCACACCTGGCGCCGCGTGGAGCGGTCAGAAATCCGCGCTGCGTGCATACCTGGCGCCGCGTGGAGCGGTCAGAAATCCGCGCTGCGTGCACCCCCGGCGCCGCGTGGAGCGGTCAGAAATCCACGCTGCGTGCACACCTGGCTCCGCGCGGAGCGGTCAGAAATCCGCGCTGCGTGCATACCTGGCGCCGCGCGGAGAGGTCCGAAATCCGCGCTGCGTGCACACCTGGCGCCGCGTGGAGCGGTCAGAAATCCGCGCTGCGTGCATACCTGGCGCCGCGTGAAGCGGTCAGAAATCCGCGCTGCGTGCATACCTGGCGCCGCGCGGAGAGGTCAGAAATCCGCGCTGCGTGCACACCTGGCGCCGCGTGGAGCGGTCAGAAATCCGCGCTGCGTGCATACCTGGCGCCGCGCGGAGAGGTCAGAAATCCGCGCTGCGTGCACCCCCGGCGCCGCGTGGAGCGGTCAGAAATCCGCGCTGCGTGCACACCTGGCGCCGCGCGGAGCGGTCAGAAATCCGCGCTGCGTGCACCCCCGGCGCCGCGTGGAGCGGTCAGAAATCCGCACTGCGTGCACACCTGGCCCCGCGTGGAGCGGTCAGAAATCCGCGCTGCGTGCACCCCCGGCGCGCAGAGCGGTCAGAAATCCGCGCTGCGTGCACACCTGGCGCCGCGTGGAGCGGTCAGAAATCCGCGCTGCGTGCACCCCCGGCGCGCAGAGCGGTCAGAAATCCGCGCTGCACTCTTGGCGCCGCGCAGAGCGTTCAAAAATCCGCGCTGCGTGCACTCCCGGCGCGGTGCGGAGCCATGTTCCTAATTTTTCAACATAGTAGTTAAGCAATGGGACATCAGAAGAAGGGTAAAATGATCCAAGAATATTAACTCCTTTTTTGGGAATAGATAGTGTTCTTTCAGGTACAGAAGAGTTGTTTCATATCAGATGGTACTATTACATTTTTATTGGCATTATAGAGACTATGATTTAAGGAGAAGAAATTAAGTGTCAACTTAGGATGTGAACTTATGATAACTAATTTTAGATGTCAACTTGACTGTTTTAATGGATTACCAAGTAGCAGGAAATGCATTAAGATTATCAAAGATTAGTATGTATCACACCCATTCTTCTTCTGTTAAATTCCTGAAAAGAGAAACCTAGATGGTTTAGCATCTGATTATAAGGATAATATTGCCCAGGTGTGCCCGATCTATGAGGGTGTTTCCAAAGGTATGGGCTGTTACTGAGTAGACCAAGTAGAAATGATCCACCCTCCATGCTCGCAGCACATCCAGTGGGCTGAGAGAATAAATACAAGTGATTTTTTTTTCACTCTGTCCTAGGACTGAGATGCTCTTTTGCTCTGGAACATCACTACACCAGGCTTTCAATACTGGACTCTAAGACATACCCCATAAATTCTCTGTGTGCTCACTCATGCCTTCAGCCGGGCAACATCAGACACCAGCAGCTTTCCTGGTTCTGAGGGTTCCAGATCTGGACTGAGGTAAGCTTCCACCTCTCAAGAGTCTCCAGCTTGCAGGGATCCTGAAGTGGGACTTCTCGACCACAATTGCCATGTGAGTCTATCTCCCTGCTAAATCCCTCTCTCTTGAGATTCTTGACATGAGATAAAAACATACACTTTGGAAATGCCTCTGAAGTGCTTTGTTATTGCAGATTTCTGAGAAGATACAGTGGGTGGAGGTGCTTCTCTTTTGCTAAGAGCTCCAAAGGGATAAATTTGAGACACATCTCCTTCAGGTTTCATTAATGCCAGTTATATCTCTGTCTATAGTAATTACATATCCTTGGCGGGGGGGGAAAGGGTAAATCTTTCCAGGAACAGGTGTGAGGATCCTACCCCACTCTCCTTGAAATAAAGGGACTGGGTAAGTACACAGAGGCTTGATGGTGGGAAGTTTCCAGCAGCAGCCAGGTTCCCTGGATGATGAGTGAGCACCGTGGGCAGACTGCAGTGCACTGGATAGCAAGGAGAGTAGACTTGGGCTCCTACAGCACCTGCCCTTGGCAATGAACACCTGAGGTGTCCAAGACAGAAACATCAAACACACAGCTACCGAAGACGTAAATCCCAAAGAGGCTAATCCCACCCGCACCCAACCCCCAAGGATTGGAGGTTGAAAACCCATCCTCTAGGGCAACCGAAGATTATGATTAGCAAACTGGGGATGTTTATATTTCTGAATTTTTCCCTCCTCCCTCTCTATTGCACTGGTTTTATCACTCTTCCAACAGAAAGTTTGTTGCAGAATTGCTAGAATTTCTGCATTTTCAGTGATTTGTCCGAGGTGGAGACGTGAGTCGAATAAATGAAAAATTTGTATTCAGGAAATTTCCTTTACAGTCATGGCATTTATGTTTTCCCACATGTCATAGTTATTATGTACTTTTCTTTCGTTTCCTGGTGTATGCATAATTCCTTGGTGGTAGAATCAAACCTTCACTTTGTTAGTAGAATCAGAACTCTGACTCTGACATCTGTTTCTTCTTATGATTCACATGATTTTATGGAACAAAATTTCATGCAGACATAAAATTAAGTACTGAGGAAAAACAGGATCTAGAACAATGAAATAAGGAAATGATAGAAAATCAGTTAGGGCACCATAAAAATTGAATGGATTGTAATATATGCTGCATTTCCACCATATCACTCATTGATTATTTAATTCTTGTGCATAGTGTAATTTTCATCTATTTATTAAAACACTTGTACCATTCATCAGGTAGGGATCATTTACTTAGGTGGTCCCAGGAATCACACCAAGAGAAAATGCTGTATTCTCATAACCTGCTGACGAAGAGTCAACTTACTGAAAGAACAATAAAGTAGCAGAAGTTTGGTAGGCAGAAAAAATATTTTGAAAAGTTAGAAAACACACATTTATTTGTAATACTGACGTGGAAATATCTACATTGTGTAATAGAAAAATTATATAATATAAATTCTATAGGCACTAACATTTATTTAACAAATATTTTCTGAAAACCTTTTTGTATATGGTAGTATGTTCACAAAATTGTTAGATAAAAAAGTAGGTGAAATACTATAAGTAGTGTGTTTTAGTTAAATAGATAGGTAGAAAATAAGTAGCTAGAAGACAGATAATAGATAGATAAAAATTGTATACATATGTATATTCAATAATATCATTGAAAGACTATGCAATTTTTAATTTAGTTTTATAATTTTTAAATAGAAATTATTATTAATGGTATAAAAAATAAAAGGATGAAAAAAATTACTAGATCCATTGTGACAGATCATAATTTGTATAGCTATACAGAAATGGATGATGTTCTAAATATTAAGTTGAAAAGAAACTTAAAACAATATGTGTTTAGATGTATTCCAAGGTTAAATAAATTACAAATTCCATTTAGAAAATAATATAGAATGTGATTATTAAGAAAAGGAAGGGAAGAAATATTTACAACTATTATCAGTGCAGGAGTCCTAGCAATATAAATATTATCACTCATTTATGGATTCTAACCAAGTGAGCAATGGACACAAAAAACAGCATTAAAATGCATCCATAGCTTTACTGCCTCAAATGCAGGGCTTTCATTCAACGTAGACTGGAGAATAGGGCTTGCTCTACAGTGTGAATGGAAGTCTTAATCCTTGTCCCTCAAATCTAGAGATCAAAAACTACCTGAGAAGATGAATTCTTCACAGTGCCCATTACAACAAATGCATGGATGACCAAGTATTAGCTCAGATTCCTGAAGAGAGGCAGAAAGCCTCTGTCAGGGTAGGCAGGGCTCTAGGCTCGCTTCACCCAACAGACACCAAAGTTGCCACCTCGCTCATCACAAGAATCATTCCAGCTCCCACTGTGATAAGTAAATGAGGATGCAAAAGGAAGAAAAAACAGAAAGAATACCCCAAAAGTATCCCTAAAATGACATGGGAGCAGGAATTTCCTCCCCCACCAAAACCAGGTTGAGATTAAGGATTTGACCTTAATGGTGCTGGCCCATTTCCTTGTCACTGAGACCCTTTACTGCTCTGCCAGGCACTGTGATGAGAACGCAGAGAATAGTGTTGTCCCTATCCTAAGAGCTGCACCATCCAGTTGGTATGACACACCCAGAATGAGGTAACGAAACAGAAAACTTGAGAAAAACTTTGAGTATTATCCGGCTTTGCTGTAGAAGAAAAAGAAGAGTCTTGTGGTTTTGGTGTCAAAGTAATACTTCCAGGAATGACTTTGGCAGTATCATTTCCCTTTCAATTTCATTAGAGTTTAACAAGTAATAATATTAGGTATGCTCTAAATTTCTTATAGAACTCAGCAGTGAATCCACCAGGATCTAGGCTTTTCTTTGCTGGTAAGTTTTTAATCACATTTTCAATTCCATTGGTTGATACTGAGTTATTTAGATGTATATATCTTCTTGATTCAACTTTGATAATTCATATGTATCTAGGAATCAGTCCACTTCTTCTGTGTTTGTTATTTTATCAGAGCGAAGGTTCTCAAAGTAGATATTGATGTTGGTCAAGAAAAACTTCAATGAAGTTAACATCTGACCATCAGAATTGTTTCTCCTATTTGACAGAGCTGAATCTTGGTGAACAGTCATAACTGGATGATACAGAAAAGAGATGACTTTCTGGACAAAAAAAGGGGAAAAAAAGAGAAAGGTGAGAACATAGATCAAAATGTGCTGTATAATATAATGGTGATGTTTAAGGGGTACGGGTGTTGCCAAAGATTGGATGTTGGGTTCGGGGAGCTGATTCACCAAGGGACTTGAAGCCAGGAGAGATGTTGACTTCAAAGCAATAAGCAATGACTGTATTCCTTCTAATCACTGCCTCTCACAGCCATCAAACCAAAACCCCCAAAAGATTTCATCTCAGTCTAATTAACAAAGAGGCAAGACATAGTTCAATGTGTCTGTTGTTTTTCAATTTCTGCACTTCTGAAAATGTATAGTTCATTTGATCCAATGGGTAGAAATGTAGTAGAAAATAGAGCTATAATAGGATAGAATTAGGAAGTTGACAAGACCACACACACACACACTCACACACACACACACACACACACACACATACACACACACACACACAAAACATTCCTAAACATGTTTCTTGCCACCCTGAGCACTTTGTGAGTTATTAGTAAAAAGATAGTTTTACCATAAAAATTTTAAACACTTGAAAATTTTTTTCAAATTGTATTTTGATTAATTGAGACAACACTTTCATGACTCTAATGAAAGATCAAAGATCTCATCCATATATGGATACATGCATCTCTTAATCTTTGATGATAAATTCCAGGAAAATACACAAAAAAATACACACACCACAACCTACAGAATGTCAATGGCTTATTATATAAAATGATATAAATGATATAGTGTCTGCATATAACCTATACATCCTCCGTTTAAGTTTGAATCAAACTTAGGTTTGTATTTATTACTATGCAGGTGCTGTACAAACAGTTGTTGTACAGTATCATCAAAGACATGATAACAAGAAAAAAGCTTGTATATATTCAATACTAATACAATTTTTCTTTTTAACATTTTCAACCTAATAGAATCAGTAGTTGGTAGAATCTGTGCTTGCAAAAATCAAATATAGGGAGTACAGCAAAATATTTATGTATGTGTAAACATATTTTTCCAAATACACAATCTATATTGTTTGAATGCTAAATTAACCCAATACAAAGTCATAGTTGAAACAAATGAATTTCCATCAAAAGTAACAATAGAATGTTAAATGAAGAGGACAGTGACATAGAAACGAAACTTGGCCTTCTTAAAACAAAGCTGAACAACTATTCTTTCTTTAAGAGACGTGAAAGTGAGAAAGATTGCAGTGATTGGTGCTGGGCTTAGCGGATTAGGTGCCATCAAATGCTGTTTGGAGGAGGGACTTGAGCCTGTATGTTTTGAAAAAAGCAATGACATTGGAGGACTGTGGAGATACGAGGTAATTTTTAAATATTCTTATGAAGTATGGTGCTATCTGTGTGTAAAAGAGCTGCTTTCATTCTAAGATACAGAACTCTGATGGCATTTAAAGTAGTTATTCCCTAAGTATTCTTTCAAAACACTAATATCTTTTATTCAAATAAACTTGAAATTTTCAGGTATTTCCTTTCATTTCCCTAAGAAACCCATGTGGAATACCTGGGATATTGCTAACAGGTTATCCACATGAGAGAAATGACAGGAAGTGTGTATGTAATTTGGTTTCCAGTTTACTGGATAAAGGACTGAAGATCTCCTCATTATTAGTTCAGAGATTTCCCTCCATACCACAGGATCATCCTATAACACAAAGATATATATATATATAGCTTTGCATTATTTAATAGACAATTTTTTAAAACCAAACTGTCTCCATGAATAAAGATATGTTTGATGCTGAATGCAACCATATTTAATATGAAGAAAAAGATGGGGTTATATCATGGATAGTGTATTAGTAAGATCTCTATCACTGTAATAAAATACCTGTTAAAATAAAAATATAAGGAGCAAAGATCTATTTGTATCATGGTATCAATGTTTAGTCCATCAGCAGTTGACCTTTGTGGTCTGGTACATGGTGGCAGAGGGTCTGTTAACCTCACTGCAGATGAGAATCCAAAAGACAGAGGGACTGCAGCCCCAATTCCTCCTTCCAGGGCACAACCTCAGTAATGTGGTTTCTTTCTACCAGTTCCTTCCTCGCTAAAGGTTCCATCCATAAGCTGGGAATCTCCTTTAACCATATGGGCTTTTGGGGCACATTGAGGTCCAAACTATAGTGAGCAGTATCCCAAATGAACAGAAATAAGGAAATGCAGCCTTATCAATAATGTCTCTTACAAAGTACCCAGTCACTTTTGCACTTAAATACTTACCACGTTTATCTAATTTTGTCTGCTCTTATATTTCATTATTTCACCTATTTCTTTTATGTAGAGAAAAAAGCAAAACAGAAAAAAGGATAGAAACAATAAAGAATTTCAAAAAATATTTTACATATTTCTTATGACTTGTGCCAAGTCAAAAACCTTGCCAGCCCCTCTTCTTGAACCAAATTTCTTAGGTTGTGATGCTGATTTTTATCCCTGTGAAGTTCCTCTTCCCAATCTTCCCAGTCTTCTTTCTGTATCAATTTTGTTTGCTGTGATTTTGTTAGTTGTACTGTGTGTTAGTAAATGTAGCCATTATCTTGATGTGATGTAATTATTGGTAATGCTATAAACAGAATTGCTTGTCATCATAAGAAAGCAAATTCATTGTCTCACCCTTTTGAGCATTATGACATAAAACTGCCAAATGTGTTCTTATCAAAGAAAAATGAGCCCAACACCCCAGGTGTGATCAGGCCTAACACATTCTTCACTATGTTTCTGAATCCTGGAAGCAATAAGAAGTTTTTATCTCCTTAGGACTCATCAGAAAGTGGATGTCCTGGAATTTATAAGTCTCTGACCTGCAACACATCCAAAGAAATGACAGCCTTCAGCGACTACCCTTTTCCTGATCATTATCCCAACTACCTCCACAACTCCAAAATGATGGAATACCTCAGGATGTATGCCAGGCACTTTGGTCTGGTGCAACACATCCAGTTCCTCGTAAGGAATGAAATCTCTGACATTACTCCCAGATTGGTCCATGCAAAGTCTGCTCAACCTAGACCACACTGAGGCACGGCTTCAATTTGCAGTTTTCTACCACAATTCTGAAAGAATGATCATGCCTCATTGTCAATATCATTGAACAGTCCATTACGCTCTTCTTGACTCTCTCAGAAGAGCATTATCTAAGGCTATATTCCTAAAATACAGCTTTCAATTAACTTTATTAAATATAGAACATAGGTTATAGAAAAAAAGTAATGTAATAGCTTCTCCAAATTATCTTGAGATGGAGAAAGTAATGCCTTTAGGAATTTGTTGTGAATAAAAATATTAAACAATCAGGAGGTACAAATACAAAAGTACCGTCTACTTTACATAACAGAACTCTAGGGGGAAAAATGAAGTCTGAGAACAATGCTCTTAGAACTGAAGCTGCCTTTTCCCTTACTTTCCAGTCCAAGGTGTGCAGTGTGAGGAAGCGCCTTGATTTTTCAACCTCTGGCCAGTGGGATGTTGTAGTAGAAACTAATGGGAAACAGAAATCTCACATCTTCGATGGGATCATGATCTGCAGTGGTCAATACACAGAAAAGTATCTGCCCTTACAGGATTTTTCAGGTATTTAGCTGATGAGTGTGAAAAAAAAAGCTGTGCATTCTAAGAACCTTAATGCCTGTGCAATATGAGGTATTTGAAGCGTGTGTTTACGTGGCAATGTGGGAATACAAAAGAGTGTGTGGTTGTCAGCTATGGTGCACCCCTGTAATACCGGCGAGAGAGAGTATCCCCACGAGTTCTTAAACTGGCCTTAGTCAGTCAGAACTATCAAGTGAGACTTTGTCTCAAAAAATAAAAAGAGGGGCCAGGGATTTAGCTCAATGGCCTAAGCGCCTGCCTAGCAAGCGCAAGGTTGTGAATTCGATCCCTGGTACCAAATAAATAAAAAATGTGGAATGATTTTAAAACACTTAGCGTAGATTTGATAGTAGAATTAACTCTGAAACTGGAAACTAGAAGTTTCTCAATAAACCAAGAACATAAAAGTAAAAAAGAACATCAATAGGAGGGAGTTTTTTTAAAAGTTTATCAAAGAGATAATAATGGAGTTGTTAAAGCAATCATGATAAGAATCAAAGAAGGGGAAAGAATCTGGGTACATTATGGGGGTTGGGGCACTCAATAAATAGAATACACCAATATAATCATAGAATTTGTGCCAAGATCACAAAATATTTTTGAATATGAACAACTTTTACTGCAAAATGCTTTAAAATACTAATAAGTTAGGCATGGAGTATTAAATGACTAATACTCAAGGATCACATTTTTCCATGAAGAAGCCAATAGTTGTATGTCGTCGTGTACACTTGAAATGTGAAATCCTAATATGCTGTCAGTGTAAAATACGTACCAGATTGGGCAATATAGTAAAATATATAAAACCTTTCTGCAGAGTAACCTCATAGACTACGTTGAGTTTAATAAAATATATCACTAAAATTAAATCATACATATCATTTTCATATCATTACTATAAAAGTTGTTTCATATATGATTTGCATTCAATTTCGTATTTGATTTGCATTCATGTCCTATGGTGTATTGCTGAGAATCTTTAAACACTTGTGTATTCCTCCACAGAACCACAAAAAGTAAAGGCACTACCTCGTGTATAAGTAAAAATACAGAAAAATATAACAAGTTCCTAAACTCAAGAAATGCTAGGTTACTTTTATTTTGGATTACCCTTGTCACTAAATGTTTTGTTCCTCAGGTAATATAATTCTGTCATATTGACAACAACACATAAGGATGGTATTTAAATGCCATCCATTTCAAGCTTATAATAGAATTTTGCCAAGTGGCCTTTCCCATTTGTGTTTGTGATGTGGGGATTCAATCCTTTGATTACAGGGATCCAGAAATTCAGAGGCAGATATCTCCACAGTTGGGAGTACAAGAAGCCAGATGAGTTTGTGGGAAAAAGAGTGGTCGTGATTGGCATTGGGAATTCGGGAGCAGATGTGGCTGGTGAAATCAGTCGTGTTGCTGAACAGGTTTGTCACTGTATATTGATCTGCACTTCGGTATAAGTTTGACTCTTACAGTATGGCCCTGCGAGTCTAGAATTCTGCTCTTGCTTAGTGATGATATACCAAATTTGCCTGCTACCTCAGTAACACACTGGTGTACGTTTTCTTCTACATAATAATACATTAGAGTCATAAAATAAATCAATCAAACTAGAGTTAGGTGTGATTATATATGTGTAGTTATACCAGTGAGGTAGAAATTTTCAATCTGAAATTAACTTTACAAAAAAACAGCAAAGCTTTCATAGGGAAAATAAAGTTTAAACAAAAAATACATACGCATGGACAGAAATGTCACCCTGATTTATGAAGTACTGGGAATGGAGCAGAATCTTATCAAGAGTAAGAAAAGAGGAGCTACCTTTCTCTGCACAGAATACCATGGCCCCTTAAAGGTTATGGAGCAATGACTTCATAATTCAAGGTTAATTTTTTGTTTTGATTTAGGATTTCCAAAAAACAAACAAAAGGATTTCCCATACTTAAAGTTTTCTGTGTGAGAACTCCCTGCCCAAGTCAGGCTCTCTGAACTGTACACACTGCTATGAGTCATGGATCTCTGCAATTAATGATCTCTGAAGCTCATATTTTCATTAAAATTCTGAAGGTTTTTTATGTTGGTTAAATGATTAAAAACAGAGAGTAAAATAAATTCAAACTATATATCCTGTTTTTCATGCATTTTATATTTTATACTGTGGGATTTTCCAAATGCAATAAGAGAAAAATCCATGTGACTTTTCTCATTTTATTTGTATTGTTATCCCAGACTTTGTATTCAGATGTGTCTCCCCTCCTACTGCAGTATGGAATGATAAAGCTTAGGGAGAGCAGGGATGCTAACTTCTCATTCCCAACACAACTGATTTGTGTTAACATTTCTTTTCAAAACTGGGATGTAGGAGATTCCAGGCATCCAGGGGAGCTCGAGGAAACATTACAGTGGGAATAGTTCTGTGACAAACAGCAGTTGGATTGGAAGGACTTGAAGTAACCCGATCTTTTACAGAGTGAGAAAGCAGAAAGGGCAGCAGAAAAAATAAGAAAGTGGTAACCGAGATTGGGATGATCCTGTTACTGTCCCTGGGCAGCCACTCTTCTCTTGCAGGTTTTCCTTAGCACAAGACAAGGTTCGTGGATATGGAACCGAGTTTGGGATAATGGGAATCCCATAGATGTCACACTTTTCACTCATTACAACAGCACAGTCCAGAAATTCTGTCCCACATTCCTGATCAACAGATGGATGGAGAATAAATTAAATGCAAAGTTTAATCATGCTAATTATGGACTGCAGCCCAAACACAGGTAAAATCTAGGATTTAATATATACTTTCAAGCTAGTAGACAGTAGAAACTAAAAGCTGGAATGTGCCATAAGAAATAAAAGCATTGGGCTGGGAATATAGCTCAGCAGCACAGTGCCTGCCTGGCAAGCACAAGATCCTGAGTTCAATTCCTGGTACAAAGAAAAAGAAAGGGGAATGCAGGCATCAATCTAATTCTTGGTGGAATTTTTTTCAATGCTTAGGCTGTAACCAAGTTTAGAGGTGTACTATACTACTGAGCAATGTCTCTAGCTCTTGATGTAATTTATTTTGAAGGAGGATATTCAAGTAACACTTGGTAATTCCACTAAGATATAAGAAAAAGATGGAGGGGGGGGATGAAAAGAGGAATAAACTGCTAAATACTTTACTCATTTGAGACTCAAACCATCTCAGTAAGTCATGATGCTACCTCTCAGTTTTATCTGTCAATTGCATTCTACACTATGATTCCACAGTTACCTCCAAACCTACTGTCAACCAGGACATTTTCAATATCTGCATGTGTAACTATTCCAGCATTCTAACCTCTTCCTCTTCTCTGGTCTCCTACCCTACTCCATCTGTACCATCCACACTCACAGCTGTACCCAGAACTCAGGGCTCATTCTGTAACTGCAAATCAAATTATTTTCTCATGTCTCACCCCACTCAAATCCAGTCAGTTCCCTAACCTTACCTAGTGCTTTTGTCCCATATCTCCCATTTTGGGTTCTCTCAACCGTGTCCACTCTTATTTTCTTTCTTGGTCCTTTTCCTCTACCTGATATTTAAAACCATTATAGTATTTATACATTTATTCTCGGTGATTTCCTATTTTGCCTTAGAGAGCCTCCTGTATTAAAGATATTAAATTTGCTCCAAAATAATAAATCCTTGAATTAATACACAATCAGTAACAAGAGAAAAATTAGTCTTATAAAGTACTTCAAGGACACATCCATAACTTCATGACTAACTTAGGTAACATGGGTGACTTCAGTTTCTATCATGTGGAAAAACTATTTAGAATTTGGAATACATATTTATTAAGATACATAGACCTGGGAATACCACATTCTACTGTTAAGTCATAGTTCAAGCTCTCTGTTGTAGTTGTTAGAGATCTGAATGTCACTGAACACAAATTTTCCCACTGAGAAGCAAATTGAAAATCATGCAGTTGTACCATGGAGGCCCTTGAAAAATATCAAGGACTAATTAATGTCAATCTTTACATGATAACAAGAATAAAGGAATATTCTAATAGTGAAAATATTATTATCTAAAAATATTTAGTATGTCACAACCTGACTAGCACAATGTAATTATGTATTTATACATAAAAATATGACTGACTAAAAATATTTTAATGTGTATTGTCACCTGATTGTCATGGTTGATCTGTTATGTCATCATTATAGTTCCTATATCATCATTATTATCCCTGTGTCCTAAATAGCTTTATTATCACTGGATATATAAGTATGTGTAAAGATATCCCCATAGCTATATGACTGTTATTATAGGTCTTGTGTCTTATACAGTTATTATGTCATTAATATAACCTATACCATTATAGTTCTTGCAGTACAGGAAACTGAGGCTAAAGTACTTCATGATTTATCCCAGGCACCATAGCTGTTGAGCAGCAGGCTAGTATAGCTATCCAGTTCTGTTTCTCAAAATGAAATTTTTAACCAATAAACTATATGAACTTCCTAGGATTACCAAAAAGAGTATTGAAATTATTGAAATACTATGATTGTTTCCTGAAGCTTTATCTACCATAAGTTCTTTGTGCAGAAAATACATACTCAGTTCATGTTACATTCCCTATCACGCAGGTTTCTCAGCTATCAGGCCACCATGAGTGATGATCTAGCGAATCACATAATTACTGGAAGGGTGGTGGTAAAACCAAACGTGAAGGAGTTCACCATCACATCTGTGATCTTTGACGATGGTACTGAAGAGAGCATAGATGCTGTTGTCTTTGCCACAGGCTACACATTCTCTCTCCCTTTCTTGGAGGATGACTCGGGAATCTTGGACAGCCAGCGCTCCATGTTTAAATTTGTCTTCCCCCCTCAGCTAGAGAAGCCAACACTGGCTTTCATTGGATTAGTCCAGCCAGTGGGAGCCATTATTCCCATATCAGAACTGCAAAGCCGATGGGTTGTTAGTATATTCAAAGGTATGTACTGGTCTTCTCCATAATCAGAGTATACTCCTAATTATGTACTGAGATTATAAGAAAAGTTAGAAGTGTTCTGATCAACTTATGTCCTTCTTTGTTCTTTCATGATACCCAAAATTTCACCAGTAGAATTAGATTGCTTTTGAACTATCTTAAATTTTGATTTATAGATTCTAAAAGAATTCTTCTAAAATGAAAGCAGCCAAGAAATAAAGCAGAAAACACATGAAATTGTAATCAAGTTAGATTTGCATATTGGGTACTTGTACTTTTTCAAGCAAGCTAATAGAAGGTAAAGCTTTATGAAAATAGAAACTGGCCAAAGTAGTAAAAAGAATCTATCTATGAATATATTTTTAAAAGGTGGTGAAACTATATACTTTACTAATGACCTCCAACTTATGTGGTTCATATTCTTGACTTATTTTCCAAATTCTCACTCAAATTGATGCATCTGAGCAAAACAAAATTGATACCAGAAGAACTCAAGTTTGACAGAGTTGTACCATAGCTTCTGGGAAGCAAAGTAAACTAATTGAATCACATAGAACTCTCTTTTACATTTCAAAGTGACTTTGATCACATTCTCCATGCTTAATGAATGAGGAGTCAGCATCCTCTCTTGTCGGGATAATTCTTTCCTGATGGGTCTGAATGTAAGGCTGCTCTCACTAAATTTTCTGCCATCTGAGACATAAAATTACCAATTAAGCAAGTCAGGAAATCATAAAATGCACTAATTTTCACTAGACTTAGAAGAGACTATGTAGTGGCTTATGCAGTTCTCTGTTCTTTATCATTTATTTTCTGAAATCACATGTCAGTTCTCTCACTATTTTCATTTTAGGTAATAACTTATTTGATTCTTATTTCAAAATCTCTTCAGCGTGGCTCTACTTTGATATTCTGGCATCCATAAATATTTCTTCCTTCTCTTTCTTCTTGCAAATGAATTGATTGCTACAAATATGGTCACAAACAAATGACATGAGTAGCATGTTGAAAGATGACACCTGCTTGCCATAGAGATGATCATAAAAAAGAGTGACCAATCACTTCTCATGCATATTTTCAGTTCTCTACTCATATCTAATTACGTTTTAAAATGAGACTTTTAAAATATATACTTCCTATAATATACACATAGAAAAGTGCACATATAATGAATGCATAGCTTGCTGGATTATTGCAACTTGAACACGTACACTTCCATTCAGCTATCACTTAGATTTAGAAAAGAAGACATGCTCATCACTTATAAGCTCCCCTTGTGTTCTTTTCCTGCCTTACTCTCCTCACCAATACCAAAGGTAACAGTTATGGCTATTCTAATTGGGAAAATTAGTTTAAGGGTTTTTTTCTTTTATACTCGCATGAAATCAAAGAATACAAACTCCATTGTGTTTGGTATATATATAATTTGGCACTTATATTTCTATAGAAATTAAAATTACAAATATTAAATATAATGAAACATTAACCATAAACAGAATAAAATTTAAAATTTGCAGCATTAGAGGTGGAAACTATTAGGTTAAATGAAGACACAGACATGACATGACATGACATGACATGACATGACATGACATGAAGACAATGAATTGTTTATCTCACATGGAATCTAAAAGCTGACCTTTTAGGAGTTGAGACTAGTATAGTAATTACCAGAGACTGGCAAAACTAGGGGTAAAATGGGGAGAGATTTGCCAATCAGTGAAATGTTACAGGCAGATTGGAAGATAAACAAGATAAGTTCTCATGTCCCATGGCACATCAAGGTGAATATAGGTAACAATAATACATTGTATACTTCAAAATAGAATCATCAAAAGAAAATCTTGAGTATATTTAATATTAAAAATGAGTTATAAACAGTTAAGGACATATGTGTGTTAATTATTCAAGTTGCCCTAATTACCTGTGTTGATTATTATTCCCCTATATATACATGAATCAGAATCTCACAGTGTATCATATAACCATGCACTAATATTATATGTCCACCAAAAAGACATTGTGGGTGATTCTTAATGGTCAAGAACTTCAACTATGGATTTAAACTGAGAAACAACTCAAAAACCCACTCCTTGTGATACAAAGCTGACACCTTTCCCTATAACCTGAGAATGATGTTTCCCTGAGATTCTTTAGTACAGGGCTCCGATTATAAGGTTCATAAACCTGTTATAATTATTCTTTTGCAAAATCATTCTTTTCATTTACTTGTCTACCTTAGGCTTTCTGACAGTCATTAAATGTCTATCTCTTCCTAGGATTGAAAAAATTACCCTCAGAGCGTGACATGATGGCTGACATCACAAGAAAGAGAAAGGAACTGGCAAAAATGTAAGACATCTAATTGCTAAAGAAAGCTCAATCTAGACGGAACTTTTGATATTTTTCATTTTGGTAGACTGAACCTACCTGAGATGTGATAATTTGAGGGGGTGGAGTATGAGGGATTGAACTCATGACCTTGCACTTGCCAGGCAGGTGCTTTGCCACTGAGCTAAATCCCAGCCCCTGAGATGTGATCATTTTAGTACAATGACATCATGGTGAACAATGCACATATGGGACATGTGTAAAAATTGCCTGGCTGTGGAACATAAATCTCCCTCCCTCTGAACAGCCACATGTTGCCCCGTCTCCCACAAGGAACAATCGACAAAGTGAGTCCGACCAGGATACAGGAGAAACATTTCTTGTCAAAACTGAAGTCAAGGGGCTGGGGATTTAGCTCAGCGGCATAAGCGCCTGCCTTGCAAGCAGGCATTCATGAGTTCGATCCCTTGTACCCATAAAAACGAAAAAGACAAGAAGAAAATTTTTTTAAAAATTGAAGTCAAGCACACTAATGAAACAGTACCTTCAGAATCTAAACAAGAGTCATACATTATAATTTTTAAATTTATAATCAAGTAAAGAGTACCTTAAGAAAATACACATTTATTTCAGTTTATTAAATACTACTCTGTGAGCTTTCCAATAAACTTAATATTTAAGATCATCCTTAGGGGAAATTTGGAAAAACTGATGAGAAACTTTATTAGAATATTATAACTAATTCAGCAATACAAACTGTGAAACTAGATGTGATATGTAAATAGCTTTTATGATTTCCAAGATTTTATGTCTCTACTTAGGTTTACTCTTAGTTTCTATTTCTGTTGCTAAGATAAACAAGCTTCCCTTTGTACTTTCTAACTAATTGTGTCTGGTTTTTAGAAAAAATTATTGCTTTATGCACATTTATTTTGTAATGAGACTTTTGTATTATCTTTTGCTGCTTATAACTAATTTTTATTATTTCAGACTTTCTGATAATTTAAAATCATAATTTTAATTTTTTTATATTTATGTCTTTTTTCTGGTATGACTGCCTTGGCTATTAGAGTACAATCATAAATAATAGAGAACATGAATATTCTGTGTTTTTCTAATTTAAAATCACAGCTCATTTTTCATCTTTTACTCTGACAATGTACACTGATATTGAGACAATGACCTCCGAGTTCCTCTGTACGTAGAGAAATGGATGGCAAATGCCATCCAGTGCAGTTTGACAATACCCTAAAATGACATACATTTCATTATTGATGTGTTGAAGCCATGAATTCGAATAATACATTTCCTAATGATAAACATTTATTACGTTTCAGGAGTAAAAACTCTTTGATTATTGTGTCGGATTATTTTTAAAACACTTGCTAATTCCATGCTGTAGAATTGTATTACAGATTTTGCAACTATATCCATAAATATGTAACTTTTTTCTTCTTTGTCCCCTTTTATTTTATTTTTGCATATTATGGTATCAAGCATATACAAGCCTTATACAAAGAAAGGGAAATGTTCAGTGTTTTTTAATACTCAAAACAACTTACATTACTTAAGTAACAGTTCATGTTTCTTAAAAATTTGAAATAATCAATATAAATATTAGAGCCCAATATTTATTTTAGAAATAATTCAAACCGTGCTTTTCTTTGTGTCCAGCATTATTGGTTTAGTTGCAATCTTACATTCATCCTTATGTCAAGTATAAAGATATATTTTATTAAAACTTAACATTTTCTTCTAATCTTGTGAATTTTTAGGCATGTACAATATTTTCTCATTTTGAGCTTTCAGATATCTCTATCATATCCTTTTCTGACTTATTTTGTGTGTATAGATTTTATGTTTTTTCTCTTTTTTAACATCTTTGAGTGGATATTTATTAATAACCTGTACTGGATGATTAAGAGCAACTATAGAAGCAAAATTGGAAACGTCACAGAAACTAAGCACATGCTTGATGATTAAACAAAATTTGAACTATTGATATCATCTGAACAACAGTCTATAGCTACAATGCATTTTTGAAATGAACGAAGAGGAATCAATTTTTAAAACCCTGAATGACCATTTTCATTTCTACAAGCAGGTAGACTAAAATGTCCTGACCCATCTGCTCTCTGAAAGCAATGAGAAGTGTTGAACAATGTGGGGTTTTTTTTATTAATCTTTTGAAATCTTCTGTGATCTGGGAGACAAATTCAAGCCAGTGATAGAAATACAGAGGGCTAGAAAAGTACTAGAGTCAATATTTCCCTTGATGGTAGGACTGAAAAAACCACATTTTGTATGTTGTAAAACACAACAACTAGCAAAAAGAAGTAAGAAGGCAATTAAAAATGTACAATAAAAATGGTTACCCATGTGGAAATAAGTGAGAGGGAGGACAAGCATATGAGACAAGGAACCATCAAGATGTTCTTTCCATCAGACAGGAACAGACATGGATATTTATCGCATTGTTACGTATCATATCATACAAAAGTATATGTGTCTTATAGAACTGTAATCCTAGCATTTTCAGAAGCTGAGGTAGGAGAGTCACAATCTTGAGCCCAGCCTTGGCAATTTAGCAAGACTTTGTCCCACAATAAAAAAATAAAAATACTTACATGTTGATTTGAAGATGGCAAATACTAAATTCTCAGCAGCGTGGCACTGTCCACAGAGTGAAATCCAGAGAACAACTGGACAAGTATGTTGCAGACAACTTTATATCATTTAATCAATATAATGACCCTATAGGTGAGTGTGATCTAGTGCTATTGTAGTAGGTAGGAGATTCAAAAAAGAACCCCAGGTCACAGGGCTGCAAAATGCACAGGAAGTACATGACAGCATTAACTGCACAGCGCTAAAGAAAATGTTGTGGATGGGGCTGGGGATTTAGCTCAGTGGCATCAGCACCTGCCTTGCAAGCAGGTGGTCACAAGTTCGATCCCCGGTACCAATAAAAAGATTTTTTAAAAAAAAGAAAATGTTGTGGTACTTCGCTTTCTCTAGGTTCCGTAAAAACTATTTAACTGTACTATACAGATTGCAATATGTTTTCTTAGTTTAAAAAAATCTGGATCCATTGATATAGTGATAACCTCTAATCACAGACCCAGAAGCAAAAATCTTCCAAAAAGGAAAAACTGGGACAGCCGAGTAATAGAGTGAAAGAACAAGACAGACCTCTTAGGTTAACCCAGAAATATGCTTTCTCTCTTTTTACTTAGTGAAGGCTTGAAGAGATATGACTATTTCGTTGTTTATTTTAAACTTTCAGATAACCACCTTAATACTTATTTGTCAATTTGTCTTTTTCCTGATTTCATGTGTTTCGTACTTAACCATAATTAATGCTTTATAACCACTTTTTTACTCTTATTTTATGTTTCTTTCCAGCTTCTTCTTCTTTTTTTATTTTTAAACTTTTACTTATTCACATTTTAGGATTTTTTTCTTCGATAATAACTAATCTCGCAACATTTTTATAGATTTTGATCATTTGGTTTTTTGTTATTTGACTTGGTATGACTTGTTGTTGTTGTTGTTACTGTTGTTATGGTTGCTTTTGTGGTGGTTGTTGTTGCTTGAAACAAGGTCTTACTATGCTTCCATGACTGATTCTGAACTGATAAACTCAAGTAATCCATCTGCCTCATCCTCAAAGGCCCTCTTGAGACAAAAGGCTCACACCATTACATCTGGTTTGATATTTTTAAAGTGGTCTATAATTAAAGTCTTGTTTTCAGGTCTTGTTTTCATTCACCCGAGGGGAATTTACTTCAGTGTCATTAAATGTCCAGGTTTGTGGAACAACTTATGGCAGTTTAAGAGTATTCAAAAGCACAGTTTTCTCTAGAATTAACACATGGAGAAAATATTTCACGTAGCTTTGAATCATAAATTTTAACACAGTGGAACATTCTTCTAGTAAATGCCTGTATTCCCCATTATGTAATTTACATAATGAAACTGGATCTTGTGTCTAGAAGGGGCATCAACATCCAAGACTTCAAACACTCATTCATTCATTCAACATATTCCATATACAAGTCAGTTGTATGGCTGCTTTAGGAATTTTATGGATGTTAAAGATTTCAGAGCTGTGTTTTGAGACTGTAGCATTCTGGGGAAGTTTGAGAAGTATGTTGACTCAGTTACTTTTCTCATTGCTGACAAAATACGCAACACCCAGAGTCAAAGAAGAAAAGTTTATTTCAAGTAATAGTTTGTAGAGATTTCAATCCATAGTCATCTGGCTCCAAGGCAAGGTGGAATAGCAGAGGGGCATCACAGGGGAGAAATAATCCATTGCAGGACAGGCAGCAGCAGCAAGAAGCCAGAGCAGCAAGCAACAGCAGCAAGCCCTGTTTGTCCTTTATCTTCCATCCAGTTAACCTACCTGGCAGGATAGCACTCACATCCAATTTAGGGCACCCTTAATCCCAGCATCACACACTTAATCTCAGCATCACATACCTAGGTCCAACTACCTCACAAAAACACCACCTATGACTGCATGAGGCTTTGGGGTGACGCAAATATCTACATATATACCATAACACATGTGTATATAGGATAATATGATAAGTAGAAGATAATTGATGTCCATAAACAGAATAAATTCCATTGCAAACTCAGTAGAAAACAGTGATTGAAATCTGGCATGGGGCTTTTAATATTTTCTTTCTTATTCCAGAGTTCTGGAAAGCCCAAGAGTTTCACGTCGAGTGCAATACATTGAGTACATGGATGAAATTGCATCTGAATTAGGTGTCAAGCCCAGTCTGTTCACTCTCCTCTTCTGGGATGCAAAATTGGCCAAGGAGATTTTCTATGGGCCCTGTACTTCATACCAGTACCGTCTACAGGGTCCTGGGAAATGGAGCGGGTCCCGGAAAGCCATCCTGACCCAGAGAGATCGGATCCTCAAACCCCTAAAGACGCGCATGCTAACAACCTCTGAGTCTCCTTCCTCTAGTCGGTTCTGGGTCAGGTGTATTTTTGCTGTCATTTGTCTCTCTGTTCCCATATTAGGCATCATGCAAATGACATGTAATTAAGCTCACATTGACATAGGTGTTTCTGCAAGTGGAGAAGAAAAGCTTGTTATTTGAATTGTATCAAAATGCAAACAATTGATTATATGGGGAAAGGTGTTGATTAGATTGACTAACTCATATATGGATGTTTAATGAAAACAAAATTAATAATGACTTTCCAAAATGCTTTATAAGGAATGAGGGTTGAAAATACATGGAGTGTTTTCACTGTATTCCAGAAGTAATTTGAAGTGTCTTAACAACATACAATAGAGGCAAGTAATCAAAAGTAGTATTTAATAAATAAATATACAAAGAAATTTAAGCCAGGTGTAAGTTTTTAAAAAGCATTTTATGGCCTCAAATTATCCCCAAACAGATATCATATTTCTTATAAAAGAAAAAATTTGAATCCAATTTAACTGATCAAACTTCTAATAGAAAGTCAATGTGAAATTTTATAACTCCTAATATGATATAATAAGTCCAATATTGCCTGTCAAGTAGTATTGTAAAAAATATTTTAACTTTAATGTAATTATGAAAGATAATTAGAAAAAAAGTGCAGATATCTTGTTTGCGTCCCCCAAAAATAGCATCATTAATAGAGCTAAAATAATGGTAGTGGTAATGGAAAATAAAAAATCATAATGACAAAATATAATGTTTCTAAGTATGGATAAGTGGTTTTTGAATGATCTAGTAAGTTTTAACATGCACTGTATATTAGATTATCTTGTTCAATTAATGATAATATCTGGTGTAATAAGGGTATTATAGTTATATAGAATTATTTTTAGAAGATGTATACAGAAGTAGAAGGAATAAAGTTTCACAATATCTAAAATTTATTTGCAAATGATTAAAGAAGAACAATGTGTCTAAGAGAGACAAAAGAGACATAATATTTTAACAACTGATGCTTCTGGGTTAAAAGTACATACTATTTTTCAGCTTTGTAGTAAATATAAGAATTTCAAAATAAAAATTTTAGGAAAAATACATTCTCTATAATGACTCATGTATGCTCTACCCTTCACCCACAATTTTGAGTTTGACTTTTGATCAAATAAATCAGAAAGGAAAATTTAAATAAGCAAAAGATAGGACTTGTGAGATTAAAAAAAGCAAATTGCTAAGGATAATTATAAATATGTTAAGTGTGGCAATAAAAGAAAGGCTTTTTCAGAGAATTCATATAAGAGAGGACATTATGCTCAGCAAAAATATTTTCCAAGACATATTTAGCTGAATTGCAATAGACTCTCAACCTGCAGTTTCCTATTTTTGCCCTTTCTGAAAAGTTTTCTGTATGAGTACTATATAAGTCAGCCTACCATCTTTATTCTATCATTTACCCAACTTACTAGCAGCCTCACAATTGCTGACCTGAATCTGCTAGTTTTTGAGAATTGCTGTTTATGAGTTGATTAGTGGCAACTTATTCAGGAGAAGCTTGTAACAGCTCACACACTGGTTAATGAACAAATGATGGCAGGACATCTAGAACTCTCTAACAGCCCTTGCAATGCTCCAACTTTCATAATAAAACATACAGGAAAATGGAGATTGTTACAAGATATGTGGGCCACTAATAAAATCAGGGAACCTAATTCAACCAGGATTACCCAGTTCCATATCTATTCCTTAGCATTTTTAGTTCATGGTGATTGATTTAAAAGACTGATTTTTTGCTGTTCCACTTCATCCTCAGCATAAGAAATGTTTTGCCTTTAGTTTATCTTCTATCAATCATCAGGACCCTATATTCTATTTCCAATGTTGTTGTCTGCCACAAGAAATGACAAATAGTCCAACTGTATGCCAAGTGTGTGGCTGCAGCTATTTTGTCAGTCTTTCAGGCTTATCCATCTATTTATTTTACTCATTAAATGGATGAAATACTACTGTCACATTAATCTTTATCCACTTTGCACCAAGTATAGAAAAAATAAAGTGCAGCCTTAAATGCATCTTAGGACTGGCCATACTTCTAGGTCTCCGTCAGAGAAAGAAACAAGGGTCAAGGCTGCTACAGAGCAGTCAAATTCCTTTCCAATATAGAATCCCATGTGACATGTGGCTGGATATTATTAACTCTTCTTTCTTCATAATTTAATTCATATCATTCATGTTATATCTTCATCCAAAATAAGTAATATTTTAACATTCAAATGTTATAGCAAAATAAATGCAATGTTTTGTATCTTACAATTGTTTTCAGTTGCCCTATCCTGTACATCATGAATAAAGTTTAAGCAAAATCACCTTGTACTCTTTCTTCATTCTCAGTACCCAAAAATGTAAGCCAAGGAAGCAGTCTAGAGACATATTTATGAAATCCTCAGGCTTATATGTCACAACCTCAGTCTTGGCTCATGCTACTAGTTTAGAACTTTAAGAGACTCAGCAGGGAGCCAGAATGTTTGTAAACTTTGTAAACATTCTCATCCTACGTAAGAGGGGGGCAAAGAGATTTTATGAGTGCTATACCAGGCTGTGTATGTACAAGGGAGAAAAAGAGGCTTTCTCTCCCACCGCCTCCTTTCTCTCTGGCTGCTTTTTCTACCTGCTGCCTTGAACTGTTGCCCTGGTACCATGCCACCCTGCCTTGGAACCAACTGATTACAGACTGAAACTTCCACAAAGTGTAAGCTAGATAAACTTCCCCTTCCTTCATTTGGGATGCTGGATATTTTGCGCCAGCCATGAGAGAAAAGTAAGCAAGGCAGAATTTGTTATCAGAGAAATGGGGTTGTTGCTGTGAATATATCTGACCATGTGGTTCAAAAGCCTTTGGAAATGGCTTATGGGAAGAATTTGGAAAGGCTTGGAGATGTCTCCTGAAAGAAGATCACTGGAATTTTTTAAGCTGTTCTGTATGGTAGATTCTGATCAGAGCTCAGGAGTTCAGAGGGTTGATAAAAAATCCTGCTGGTAAAGACCAGGTTTGGGAGGTTTCTGCTGGGAAAAATGACTGCTTTGGTTGCTAGACTCCAGATCATGTGTGTTATGGATTAGCAAAAAGGTTTTCTGCATTTTTCTTGTGTCCAGAGATTTTGCCCAAGACTAAGATTAAGGGCAGCAGAATAATTGATCTGGTAAAAGAAATTTCAAGGCTGTCAAGTGTTGAGGCTGTGGCATGGCTATTTTGGGAGCTTTTGGCCAGACTTATGTTACAAATAAAGAGCATAGATCCCAGCAGGATGATTTAAAACATTGTGAGTTTGGCCAGAAAAGAAGTTCCAATAGGACTGCAAAGATAGAGCTGAAGAAATTTCAATTGTTGAAAAGGAACAGGAAAATAAAAAAGATGGTATTACAAAGATAATACAGGTATTACAAAAAGCAGCAAGTCTAAACTTTTGCAGCCTCAAAACTGCAAAATGAAAGACTTTGCTTTAAGGTGAAAGCTGCAGAGCACCACGGTCCAAAATGGTGGTAGCATAGAAAACTTATTCATTTTTAGAAAATTTAATCTTTTGATGATGACCAGTGTAAATATATCACAATAATGTATTTTAATAACATCTATTGGAGAGTCTCACATAAAGTTATAGAGATCACTGGGGCCTCCAATTCATGAACAAAGGCTGAGATACAATTCTTCCTAGAAGCTGCTCCTTTTTTCACTGAAGGGAGCTCTGATCAATAATCTTCCAAGCCAAAAGGGTTGCCACTTATTTAACAAACTTCTGTTGACCTCTGAGGACACCAATTTTGATATCACTTTCACCAGCTGTCAATCTACATGGAAGCATTCTTTTTACATCTATAAACCAATTTAAATTATGAGCAAATGATCCAAAAATGTAAAAGAGAAAAAATATTGTTGCATTCAAATAAAAAGCTTAATAGATTGCACAAACAGACAAACAAATATATATGTAATATTCTTACAACATTAGAGTGCATTCAACTATATTCTGGGTTCTCATCTCCTCAGCATCCCGGGCCAATTTCTTTAATTGGTCCTACACTGGGTCTAGCCCCATTCTTGTCTATCAGCTGCAGTGAGGTCTCCATGGCAGCACCAACACAGGACTAAGAATCAGCTTCTTAAAAGGTGTAACCAACTCTTTCTCTAAGTCTGGGTCCATGATTCAGCTGGAAAATTTGCTCTGCCACCCAGATAGACAATTCATTCTTCTCTGCAAAGACACAAGCTCACCCTTGGCCTCATATAGTACTAGGCTGTGTCACTTCCACTGGCCAGTATGAAGATCTTTAAAAAGGACCCATCCTATCTTCTTTTCCTTTACATGCTTGAATTGTTTTTCTGCTGCTATAGTCCTTCCCTAGTAAATTTTAAAAGTTAATAGTATATACTGCCAAATCTATTATGAGTTCTGCATTTTGTAGAGAAGGATTACCTTTTTCGTTTTTGAAACTGAATTTGAGTGTAAGGTGAGCACATTCAACAATTCCTTGACCTTGAGGATCATAACAAATTTCTATAGTAAGGGAAATCTGAAAGGTTTTACAAAATGTTTGGAATGAAGTACTCAAATAAGCTCGGTCACTTTCAGTCTTAAGTGCCTGCAGGTAACCAAGGGTACTAAAGGTATCCAAGCAGTGAGAAATGATATGTGTAGCCACTTCACTTGAGTGAGAAGCAGCAAAAATAAATCCTGAGGAACTACTCACTAAAAGTGAAGCTAGCACAGAGAGCCAAACTCAGGAATGTGAGTGACATCCATTTGCCAAAAATGATGGGGGTGTAACTCTTGGAGATTAGTCTCCATAGTGAAAAGGGATGATGTATTACACATAAGGACACTGTTTAGCAATTTGTCAAACCTGTTCCTAGGTTAAAAGGAATTGTTTGTGCAAGACAAAAGTGTTCTGATGAAAGGGGGCATGGGAAGCAGAAGTCTATTGAATGGCATCTGAAGGAGTAACAATGACAGTAGCCAGCATTTCCCCCAGTGAGAGACCCCAAAATTGAGAATGAGTTCACAAGCAACCTATAAAACAGGGAACATGGCATGATTGAATGACAGATTGGAGAGTGTGAATAAATGAAAAAGATCTTGGCCAGCGTGAATAGTGGAAGTTTCAGTATAGTGCACCACACCATAAACACAAGCACTATCTGAAAAGAAGTTGATGGGAATGGATGAATGATCTTGTAAGGCCCATATATAACAGCCATTAATTTGGTCTTTTGTGCAGAAGAAACCCATATCCTGTGTTCAGGAAGAGGAGGCCATTACATAATCTCTCCTACCCAAAGAGGACTCAGCTGTGAAAATGACGACACTTCCTACTATGGGAGCCAAACCTATTTTTGAAGAAAAGACAAAAGTTGTGAGAGAAGCAAACTGAATTAATTTGTTTGGAGGATAATGGCAATCAGTAACACCAGGGACATTAGCCAGTCCAGATTGCCAAGAGGACAAAAATCGCCACAGCCACTGTTGTTGAATGGAAGAAAAGGAAACAATGTTAGTTTGCATCTCACAACCAAGTTGAACAGCACACATTTATCCACTTGTGATCAGTCCTGCTACAGCGTTATAAAAGGAAATAGTGGTTTTATGCAGAACGTGTGACAAATGCAGCCACTGTATGGGGCCCTGAGGCTGCCAAAGGACCCCAACAGGCATAGACTGACTTGCGAAAATAGTTAAAAACATTGGTGAAGATGGGTCAACTCTAGAGAGTTGAACATTAGAAAGAGCCAGATGAACTTTGTCCTTAACCTCTGATATAAGTGTTTTTGGAACCATGGGGACCTAGTGTTCCTTGAGAATGCCAAAGAGAGGAACTAAATCATGAACTGATTGCTTAACGGCTGTGAAAAGTCAAATATTACCAAATACATTCTGAAAATCAGTTAAGATTGCATGATGATTAACATAGATCTACGTAGTTTGGGACACAATATATCTCTGTTGGGTAAGGTGACCCAAATATGAGAAAGATAGGATGGTTTACACCTTTTCAGAGGCCAAAAAAGGCCTGAATTGTGGAGGACATCATCTAATTGAATAAATATCTGGTACAAGGCAGATGAGGATTCATGTACTAGAAGAATACCATCCATGTAATGAATAAGATAAGCTGATGGACTACCAAAATGGCTGCAGCCATAAATTCTTGACACAGGGTTGGAGTACATGCCATTCATTATGGCAGACAACACCATTGGAAACAGTGCATAGAGACCTGATTGTTAATGCAGGGGAAACAAAAGGCAAAATGCTTTTTATCTTGAGGAATGAAGAGGGACTGCAAAAAAAATCTTTAAAATCAATCACCATGAGGGAAAAAAATGAAAAGGGATTGCTACAGCTCTCAGCAATCCTGATTCAAGTGCTCCCATAAGTTCCATGGCATGACTAACAGCTCACAAATCTTGTGGTAATCCCCACCCTCCTGACTTCTTTTTTATTACAAAAATTGGAATACTCCAAGGCTACTGGAAAGTTTTAGGTGCCCCATTGTCATCTGCTCATTAACCAGTGTATGAAACACTGTAAAGTTCTGAGTGAGGGGCCATTGATCAACCCAAACAGGGTCATCAGACATCCAAGTTCTACTAGACACTATTCGTGGGATAGAGAAGAAATCAAGGCCCCTCCTGCAAATATGCAAGTGAGTAGCCTATGTCAAAAATGGTCCTTTTTGAGGTTTACTGAAAAGAGTTCTCTCCTTCCTGACTGAATCTACCAATCCCTTGAATGGGGAGAAAACCTTGTTGTAACATCTGATGAATCACCAAAGGGTTTGGACTGCAAAAAATGCCCCCAGAGCCTGTAATATGTCACAACCCTACAAGTTGACTAGTCTATAGGGAAGTACATAAAGTGAGAAATGTCCAGAATAGCCTTATGCATCCTTCCAGGTTAACAACTTAATACTTATGCTAGGGTGAAAAATAGTGTCTATCCCATGTAGATCTGTAGTTGCTAAGTCCAAAGGCCATTCTATAGACCAACAGCATTGGAAAACATCTGCACCTAAAAATGGGATGATCTTGTTTAATCTGTTGAACCTAATAAGTATCAGAGAGCCCCAAACCGTTAGATTCCCTTTCTTTATTTATAGATTTTCCAATTTTTGTCAGAGGAAAAATGACTAACTTAGTGATATGAGAATCTGAGGTAACTTGAACAGTGTTAAATAGTTTGGACCATAATTTTGATCTCCCTTGTATAATCAGCATTTATGACACCAAATGAATTCTGAAGACCTTTTAAAGTAAGACTGCTGCAGCCTACCAGGAACCACATTTTTCCTTGGATAAA